AGAGCACTATATACTTAGGTCATAGTAAAAGTTCTGGCCACAGCGTTTAAAGAATCTTTTTCAATAGGGGGACGCATTGAGAAATGAAAAACCAAATATATCATGTTGTAGAGCTTTTCCAGGCGTGTCGAATGGTATATAGTAAATCCTGTTTTCATAAGACTTTAAAGAAACTAGAGTCAATTTACTGATAGACGACTACACACTTACACCCACACCCAAGCATGATAGGTTACTGCATATTGTAGTCCTTAGTATTAGTCGAAAGTATTTGTAAAATTTTTTTTTTCTTACATACGATTTTGTAGAGTTTTTGACGGGTTACAACCTCATATACGTAGCATCTCCGGTCATCTTGTCAGTGTGGAATGGGCGTGGGAGTGTAGTCATCTATCAGTAAATCGACTTTAGTTCCTTCAAAGTCTTATGAAAACAATATTTACTATATACCATTCGATGTGCCTCAAAAAGTTCTACAACATGGCATATTTAGTTTTTCATTTCTGAATAGGTTACCTTATCCGAAAAGATCTTTTAAACACCGTGGTCAGAACTTTTCGTATGCCCTAAGTAATAACTATAGGCAAAAGAAATCATTAAAATCGGAAGAAGACGTCTCAGAAAGTTCGTTTGTCAGTTAACTCTACTCTTTTTAGTGTAGAAGCTTGTGGCGGAGTTTAGCTATCGTGACTTTGATCAGGGACAGGAAGGGTCAGCCGTCTTTGGTTACGCCACTAAATATTACCATTTGGTACTTGCATACCACGCTTTGATAATTCTTCAAAATCAACATCTGATACTATATCAATATTACCAGGATCCGAAAGTGGATCGACTATTTCATCTTTACGAAAAGCCTATAGAAAATAATATTAAACTATGATATAAATCGAGAAAAAAAAGTACATACACGAAATGTATCACCTTTTTCACCCCAATGACCATAGTCACCTATTAAAGCTGAACCACCATATGTTGTTAAATGTGTACACATGGCTTGCATTATCATTGCGCGTTGTGGACTGATTTCTATATGTTGTCTATCTTTGATACTATTAAGAAACTAAATTAAATCAACTAAATGAATATCTATAGAATATAAAATATACATTTTCATAAAGTCTAATCATAGGTGTTGGTTTTAATGATAAAACATATTGAAGTTGTTTTGTTATTGGATTCCAATCAATCATAACTTCTTTCCAACCTTTTGATGTTTTCTATAGAATATTTAGAAGAAAAAAAAACAACAACATTCAAAGTTAGTCTTATCTTTTTACTAAATAAAATTTACTTGAAATTTATGTATAGGATACACATTAAAAAATTCATTTGCAATAAAATATGTATCATAAGAAAGTAATTGTTTAAAATCATCGAACCATATAAGAGAATAATTACCATCTTTTATTCGATAATCATTTGCTATTAATGGATTAAACTAATTAAAATAAAAAAGAGAAACAAATTTTTTGAAATAAATTCTTTAAATTTTTATATACCGATCGACCAAGTAATGTTTCAGCTTGACGTTGTCGCATAAGTAGATTTTTTTCATATAAAGCAAAAAATGTATGTGTATTAGAATATTTGTATTTTTTTAATATCTGTAAAGCAAAAAAATTTCAACTTGTTTTTTTTTCATATTATGCCTTATCAAACAAATATTTACTTTAATAATATCATTCATTAATAGACCACGACCAGGTCCCATTTCGACTAATTGTAAAACATTTCCACCAATTGTTGAATGTTCTTGCATAATCCATTTAGCTAATAACTAATATATACTTAATTATAAAAATAAACTAATAACTAATATATAAAATCGTTTACTTCAGCATACGATTGCCTAATTTCAGGTGTCGTGATAAAATCACCTTTTTTACCATAGACTTCATGTCGCGTATTATAACCCTAAAACAATAGTAAACAATAAACAATATTTTTCTTTTTTGTTGACTTATTTCGATACAGATATAAAATATATATATATATATATATATAATGATCAATAACATACATATTTTGGATTTGATAATGCTTCATGCATAAAATCAGCGACAGTTATAGGCCCAACATTTTGAATTCGAATAGATAAATAATTAATTAATCTATTTAATTCTGATGTTGCCCATGGTGTATAATCAATGGTTGATTTTCGTTCAATATCAGATGAAGACGTTTTAATTAGATCAGTAGTTGTAGTTGATTCATAACGAATAACAAAGGGTGAACACAAACGTTTTAAAATGACGTATGAAAATTGTCGTATAGCAAACATCTGAAAATAAATGGCGTGTTTGTATACGTAATTGATGATTGCCGGATTCTTATCATAATAATAATAATATTTGGTCGTAATTGTAACTATTTCTGCATAAACTGGTTATATTTATTTTTATCTATATCTGTTTCTATCTTCGTTTTGGGTTTGCTAAGTATAAAAAACACGAGAGAATGACTACAATTTTTATTTCTCTTTCTTTCGTTTTTTTTTTCTTGTGTCGTAACTTGCCTATGTGTTTGAAGCGTTGTATGTACAATATAGGCTTATCATAAATGGAGGAGTATGATTGTCAATATAATAGTCCATTTATTCGATCAATTTGAATTAGTATTCGTGTCATATGTTCAAAATGAAAGAAGATCTGCTTTATATCTCACATAGATGAGTGCTCATTTTAAACGTTTGATATATGACAGAGTTTCTTATTTGTTGTAAGGCTCTCTCTCTCC